AGCATTTCTAATAAAATATCTAAACTTTTTACTTCTACAATTGATAACATCAAAATTTCCTTTAAATCAAATAACACTTTAGGTTCCTTCTTAATCAATACCAAAGATAGGATGAATACAGTTGATAAAAGTGGTATTTACAAATTAAAATGTGATGATTGTGATGCCTCTTATGTAGGTAGAACCATCATAAAGTTATCCACTAGAGTCTCTGAACATTTGAAAAGACCAAATTCTTCAAGTTTTGGTCAACACTTAGTATCCAGCAACCACAATTTTAACATCAATTCTGGTTCATCTATCTTACATGACATTAGCAGAAAGAAAAACTATCTTGAGATGGATTTATTGGAAGATTTGGAGATTACAAGGGAAGCAAATGAAAACTCTCACTGCCTTAATACTCAAATTAATTTAAATTGTACTAAATTTAATCCTATATTTAAAAACTTTATTACAGCTTCACCTCGTAGAGGACCCAGCTCGACTGTTTAGACTTCATGCACTGAGCATTTCAATATTAATTTTAAAGTTCTTCCATTGACTGTGGATTCAACTGAACTACGTGGACTATAACACATTTATATATTTTGTCTTCAATTTTGATTTTAACTTTTAGTAATTTAACTGCATATTCAGATTTTTTCCTTTTTACAGTACTGATAGCGCTTGGTGGACCATTTTATTCTAGTCAACCATCCACTGTCTAATATATTGTTAGTCTTTTCTCACATTCATACTTTGTCAACTTCAATTGCTCTCAAACTAACATCTTAATTATTATAGACAGGTTTGAGTGTGAGATTGGGATTATTCAATCTACATAAAAAAAAAATTACAATATAATTTTATATTTCATCAGTCGATTTCCTATAGTGGTGTCAGTTGGACCTTTGGTCAATACTTAGTGTCATAGAATTTTGAAAGGTGCAGATCACATAACTGCCCTTCACAAGCTGTCATTTGTCACATGTCATCTCTACATTTCCGTCAGACCGGGAGTACATTCTGTCTCCGGCTTCTATACAACATGTAGCTTCTCCTTATAAATTTTAAATTGTTTGTTTGTCTTAGTGTATTGTATTTTGTATTGGTATGTCCAAATTTTACATTTATGACATTCTACTATGTCGGATAGGCCACAACTGACGAAGTAAGTCTATAAACGTTTATCACATATAAAATTTTTTTCAGCCATAAACTTGGAGTTTTTTATCCAGGTGAATTAATTTTCCTTTTTTATAAAAAACGTTTCTTGGCTTATTTCAGATGCCCCTGAAGATGATCTATTGATCGAAAGTACTTGGGCAAGATTAAATTAATCACCGTGTTCGATAGTTGCCTTGTATACCCTCAAAGTTTCATTATAAAATTGCTGGTAAATGGTATGAACTCTAGCAGCTGTTGTAAATGTTCTCATTTTTGATACTTAACTTATCTCGTACTTCTTTTTTTTCTTCTTTAGTTGATGATGAGATTAAGTTTACCAATCGATCTAATTTATTACAAGTGTATGAATTAGGACGGTAAAATTTTAAATTTAATTCAGTATTGAAAATATGGCGGTGATATAATTCCACCGTCATCAGTGCAATCATTATCTTTGTAGAGACAATACATTTTACGAATGTTTAAGGTTCGGACGAAAAGTATTTCGTATTTGGATTTTGATTATGAGAATTATTACTCCTATAACGTGGAAATCTTGTGGAATTCTTTTCTCAGGCTCCACAAAATTGTTTTTGTCAACTTTTTTACAAATTACCTTAAAGCGATTATCGCTGATATGAAAAGTTTTTAGGAAAAACTCTCTGTATACAAGGAGGTCAAGAAGTTTAATTTCTGTACTGTAATTATTTTTGCTACTAGCCAGTTTTTTTTAGGTTCAGCTTTTCTAATGTATGAAGCTAAAAAAGATGCTTGCAGGTTGGTAAACTGTAAAACTTAGAGAAGAGTCGTTGTCTTTTAACCTTGTTAGATATTCCACATTGGTAGCTACATATACACAATTTTTATGAATTTATTAACAACTGTCAGGCATGCTGTACTATAGGTACTTCATCCTGTATTGATAAAATACTAGTGGGATTCAGAGGTAGATTCTTCTTCTTCATGTACCATGTCCTTTCAAAACGTTGGTTACCATCATAGCTATTTTAATTTTATCCACTGCCACCCTTAATAGCATGCTTGTATCTACACCACACCAGTCTCGCAAATTCTTCAACCATGAGGTTCCTCGTCCTGGACTGCGTTTGCCTGTTATTTTTCCTTGCATGATATTTTGTAGCAATCTATATTTGGGACCTCTCATTACATGTCCGAAATATTCCAGCTTTCTCTGCTTGATGCTTTTTATGATCTCAGTAGTCTTGCTGAGACGTTCTAGTAATGTGGAGTTACGAATCTTCTCCACCCAGGAAACTTTTAAAATTCTTCTATAGCACCACATTTTAAAAGCCTCAAGGCGATTTAGATCGATTTTATTCACAGTCCACGACTCGACAGCATAAAGTAAGACCGAGAACACGTAGCAGCGAAGTAGGCGGATTAATGCCAATTTTAGGTCTCTGTTACATAACACCTTGGACATCCTTCTAAAAGCAGCTCTAGCCTGCTCTACTCTGGATCTAATTTCGCCATGATTTTCTGAATTACAATTTAATTGCTGTCCAAGGTAGACGATTTTATCAACTTGCTCAAGTTTGGTTTTATTTACATATATAGACGGTTTTATATTCTGGTGTTTACTTATTACGAGTATTTTGGTTTTCCTTATGTTAAGATCCAGACCTGCCTCCCTACAACTCTCAACGACACTATCCAGTTGTGTTTGCAGATCTTCTTGAGTAGAAGCTAGGAGTACTGTATCGTCCGCATATCGCAAATTATTGATGACTTCGCCGTTCACAAGTATTCCTTCTTGTTTTTTAGAAAGTGCTTTTCTGAAAATTCTTTCGGAGTAAACGTTAAAAAGCAAGGGTGACAAGAGGCATCCCTGTCGTACTCCTCTTTTAATATTGAGAGCTTGTGATTCCACACCATCTACTAAAACTGATGTTGTTTGATTCCAATATAAATTTGCAATTGTTCGAACATCTCTGCCGTCCAAGCCAATGTTATTAACAGTGTTAATTTTAGAGCTTCGATCAATATAGAGTGCTTAACACGATCAAATGCCTTTTGAAAGTCAATAAAACCACAGTATATGTCTACAGATATATCACGACATCTTTGAACAAGTACGTTCATTCCAAACAGTGCCTCTCTCGTTCCAAATTCGTTACGGAAACCAAACTGAGTGTCATCCAGGTATTCCTCACACACAGAGGTAGATGTCGCTTTAAAATGTACATACGGAGTAAGTCCGTAAAGTATGGTATAAAAATTTGCTTGGAATGTGCTAGAAAGATTTGTTTGGAGTGCGCTACACTCTTAACTTTGGAGTGCCCAAGTTTCGCGACTGTCAGTTTTTTTTTGTCTTAACATTTTTTAAAAATCTTATTATTTTAATGTTTACTACTGTTTGCTTAACTTGACTATAAATTTTAGATTCTTTGATATGTTTAATTTTTATCACAATTTTTTTCAGGCGTAAAAATGTACACCAAAAATCTATCCATTCTTGTTATAATGATTTTTCTTCTTCTTCTTTCAACTTTATAAATAGGCTTAATGCCTGTTTTACTTCGGTTTTTACCCTCAATTGACTGTCTTTTCCTCGGTCATCCCAATGATCTTCCATTTGGCGATTTGTCTCTTTCTATTCGTACTATTCTATTTTCTGTCATTCTTTCGATGTGTTGATTCCATTCCATTTTTCTTCTTTTGGTTCATGCGTTTATTTCCTCTATACCACATCTCGCTCGTATTTCCTCACTTCTTACTCTGTATTTTAGAGTTTGGTTTGTTATTTTTCGTAAGACTTTCATTTCTGTTATTTCCAGCAGTCTTTGTGTTTTCATTATTGGCCTTATTGTTGATTTATATATCCTGGTTTTCGTTTCCGTTGTGAGTATCTGTTTCTCCAGGTTGTGTTGTTGATACATCCTGCTACTTTGTTTGTCATGTTCACTTCTTTTTGTACTTTTTCTTCCACTTTTCCGTAGCTTGACAGTTTTATTCCCAAGTATCCAGTTTCAATCACTTGTTCTATTATCTTATTATCTACGACTAGTTTACATCGTCTCTGTTCCGCTGATATAACTTGTAACGATGGCTTGGACATGTAGCAACATCAGTTAATGACCGGTGGACAAGAAGAATTTTGGAATGGAGATCCCGAATACAAGCTTACAGAAGTAGAGGTCGGCTCCCAACGAGATGGAGAGATAACATAAAAAGAGTGACTACTGGATTCATATGGCGCAAAATCGGACTAAGTGGAAAAGCATGCGAGAGGCCTATGATCAACGGTAGACGTTAGAGGCTAGTTGATGAACACTTTCAGTAAGTCATCGCAATATTTTTTTGCATTAAAATATTTAACAAAAAAATATTTACTAGAATGTTAAACCCGTCTGTCAGGTGGTTAGTTAGTATTTACGCCATTGATTTAAGATGTTAGTATTTAAGGGTTAAAAAAAAATAATTTTTCAGAATATTTCAGTGTCAGTATTTTCTTTTAATAATAAAAAAAATTAATTAAGTCTCTAAATTAAAAATACATGAAGGGGTCAGAGAAAAAAGGGTTCAAGTGACGTTTTCTGAAAAAATGAGTTAAGTACATATTTAGCTATTTGAAACATATATTTCTTTTGTGGAAAAAAGAATCAACTGATTTTCGATGTTTTAACGCCATCTTTTAAACGGTAGAAAAAACATGTAAACAAACGTCTTGCATTTCTTTAAGGCAAAACGGTTCAAGTGTATTTAAACCTGTTTGGCGCTAAACAATTATAGTTAGAAGTTTATCTGACAGTGGCAACGTGTTATTGTTTTTGATAGTTTATGCCATTGTTTGAAATTTTCCACTGATTATAAACTATTTTTGAAGGAAAATGAGTAAATCCCTTATTCCTAAAGGTAGGGCTTTATATTATAATACAAAATAATATTAGTTTGTTTTGTTTAAATAACATAACCTCAAAAAAATATGGTCGACATAAAATTAAGTTTTTTCTTATTTCTTTTAGCTAGTTGCAGTTATAATGCTAGTGACTCTGACCCATATATGACTGATGAGGATTCTGCTTATGAACCCCCAAGTGTACCCCACCTTAACGTTAATCAGAGCCAGCATGTTAGTGAATTATTAGAGAATAATAGTTCAGACAGTCCTCATGGTATGTTACGTTTAAATATTGTAAAAAGTTTTATTTATCTAAAAAACAATATTTTATTTCAGTTACTCCTAAAAGAACGAGAAAGAGAAGGTTGAATATTAAAGGCCATAAAAAACAAATTAGGAAAAATGCGACACTACAGGGTTTAGAATATGAGACTGCAAAGGGGAAAAAGGTTATGAAAAAGAAATTGAAAGCCTATGAACACAGATGTGGATATAAATGTCATGAAATAAACGAAGCAGATAGACAGATGTTGTTCACAAGATTTTATCAACTCAAGTCTTATGATTTACAAACCAACTTCATCGCCTCATGTATTTCAAAGATTGCTCCCAAACGAAAAATAGCCCATTCAGTCTCGCATAAACAGTTTAGCACCATAATTAAACTGATGGAAGTTAACAGATAAAGGTTTTATTGAAACGGATCAACGCGGACGCTTCTCACTTGTAAATAAAACTAGTGATGTCATGCGAGATGATGTCGTCATCCACATTAAAATGTTTCATCGACATCGAAGTCACTATTCTCGACTTGACAATCCCTGCAGCAGGTACCTTCCAGAAAATCTTATTGTTAGCAAAATGTACTCCCTTTATAGTGATTGGTGTACAGAAAAAAATAAGGCCAAAGTAAAAGAGTCATATTATCGACATATTTTCGCCACAGAATTCAACTTAAAATTTTATAGGCCTCATTCAGACACCTGCCATACATGTGACAAGTTGAATAATATGGTTATTAATAGTTTCGATGCAGAAGTTAAGATACGAAGTAAAGTTGAGGTGACATTACACCAAAAAAAGTTGAAGCTGTCAAACAATCAAAAATTGATGACATTAATTATGGCATACAAAATCCAGAAAAAGTAAGGGTTATTTGCTTTGATTTGCAGAAAACACTCCGTACTCCATTATTAACTACAAATAAAGTATACTATCTACGGTAATTATGGACATACAACTTTTGCATATATGACTTGGTTTCTGGAAAATCGCATATGTTTGTCTGGAATGAGACTACAGCATCTAAAGGCTCACAGGAAATCTGATCCTGCTTACTTAAGGTGAATTATTTCCAAATGCTAATGAAGGGGCGAGTTAATTAAATCACGTTTTTGTTTTCAGTTTATTAAATCCCTCCCTGACAGTATCGAGCATCTCATTTGCTACAGTGATTCGTGCGCTGGACAGAACAAGAATAAAAACATAGCAAAGCTTTTTATGTTTTTAGTTCAGTGTAGTCATGTGAAATTAATTAATCATAAATTTTTTGAATCTGGACATTCTTATATGGAAGGTGACCGATCGTTTGGTCAAATTGAGAAGAAGAAAAAAAATCCGTAAGTGTATTTATTCCTGAACATTGGTCAGATATCATTCGAAAAACATCAAAAAACTTCTACGTAGTCAACATGAACAGTTGTGACTTTGTAAGTTTTGATTATTTAAACAGTTTAATATTGGATCCAAAAAAGGATTCAGAGAAATACCCTATTAAATGGCGTGATATAGGTATGGTTACAAACATGATGAGTTTTTCTCATTCTTATTTAAAACTACAATAAACTCCTTTTCTCACTTTTTTAAGGCCCAGAAATGCTCTAAGCTTCCATAAGGAAGACCATCTATTAAGATTACCGATTTATACAAAACATTATATACGAGGAGTATAGAAATAAAATATGCAAAATGGGAAAATTTGCAACGACTTTTACCCTATGTACCTCCTATCCACCATAAGTTTTGTAACGAATTACCCCATAAAGAAAAAAACATCATAAAACAATCGCGCGCAAATTCGAGAGGACAAACTCACGAAAGCAATGATGACACAGCTCGTAATGAACCAGATATGATAATTTTGGACTTAGACTATGAAGATTAAAAACAACACCTTTTTCGTATTTTCTTATTACAATTTTTAATTTTTGTCTGTACCTTTCTGTACTAATAAACATGATTTAAACGCTTTTTTCTTTTGTTTTTTTTTTGTAGGCCGAAGGGTTCAAGTGCTTTTTTTTAAATATGGATTTTTTAAACATTTTATTGAGAGGTAATGAGACATTAACCTAAAAACATTTTTTGGTTTTCGAAAAAAGGTTTTACAAATTTGTCACATATATTTTACAATAATCAAAAAACTTTAAACCGCTATAACTTTCGTTTCTATATTTAGAACTTGATCCCTTTTGGCTCTGATCCCTTCACATGTTTTGATACATGTTTCGGTATAAATGTTATTTTTTTTAAATTTTGTCCCAACGTTTTAACTTTTGTTCTACCTGGAATGTATTTTTTAATTAAACTGTAATAATATAAAACTACAGTAAATCACAACTAAAATATAGTACATGTGAGTATTGTAAAATAAAAATAGATAAAAAGGGTTTTAAGGTCGTGTGGATTCTACACTAATTGTATTTACTGTGCGACAGTTTATGGTTTGAAAAACATAACAATGCACTTAGAGCGCATCCAAAGAAAAGCTACTTGAAATATCCGTAGCCAAACTTACACAATAAAGAACTTGAAAGCTATAACAAAACAGCGCAAAGTGTCTACCAGTCGTCGAAATAACTGGAATTTACGGTGGCGTATTGTTGCCTGGTCTATTATATGCACAATTTCCAATTTTCCTTTAAAAGTCGTCTGTGGAAGTGGAAGTCTCCAGACAGGCACAATATCCAAGAAACGTTTGTAAATAGACCGCACTTCAGTCATACAGGAAGAAATTTCCGGTCCCAAATAAACAGGATTTTCGAAGGAATCTGCCAATCGGTCGTTTATTGCTTATCCAATTCTGATGTTTGCACAACAGACAACTCCGACTATAAAGCCTCAGGGCTCAGAAATGCTATTGCGAAGTCTCTCGCGAAATACACGGGCAAATACTGTAATAACTTTTCGTAAATGTGTTATAACTCAAATGTGGCCTTCGGGTGTTATTTCTACGATTAAAAAATTAGGTACATGTTTACTAAGCTTTTATGGCATTCTATATTAAATCCTCCGTAGTGTTAAACAAACTTAGATCTTAATCAATGAGCACAATTACTGTTGTTAATTAATATTAAGATTTATATTTCAATATAAAACAAAAAATAATGTTAAATATAAAGAATACTATAACGTATTAAATGCGTAACAGTCATTGTCATATATGACAGAGTCGATATAATAACTTCAATGTTCATCGAAAGGTGAAGGAAATAGCTGGAAAGTTTCAAAAACGCAACAGCAAAAAAATAACAGATAATAAAGGCAATCTTGGCATAACCAAAGAAGATAAAAAAAGTATGGGAAGAATACTTGGGGAAACTTTTCCATGACCTTAGAACAATACAAGAGCCCACCATTGAAGACAATTCAGGTCCCGAATTCCTACCAGGCAGCCGTCAGACAAATGAAGGATGAAAAGACATCGGGACTTGATAAAACTCCTGCAGTACTGCTGAAGCTATTAAATGCAGAACAAATAAAAATAATAACTGAAATATTTAATGAAATATACAAGGGAGGAAAAATACCAGTAGAGTGGCTCAAATCGGTGTTCTTACCATTGCACAAAAAACCAGGAGCAAAAGTTTATGAAGATTATAGGACAATAAGCCTAATGAGCCATCTGCCAAAACTGTTTTTAAAAGTCATCCACAAAAGAATTTACCGGAAATGCGAGGAACAAATTGGGCCCAATTAGTTTGGATTTGTGAACTCTGTAGTTACGAGGGAAGCTTTATTTCGCGTGCAGGTATTGTTTCAGAAATGTATTGATGTCAGCTGTAATGTTTTTGCATTCCTAATTGATTACAAGAAGGCTTTCGATAGAGTCAGGCATGAACAAATGATAGAAGTACTAAAGAGGACAGGGATTGATTGAAGAGACTTAAAAATTATAGCTAATCTGTATTGGAATCAATCAGCGGTACTCCGAATAGATGGAGAATGTACAGATCAGGTCAAAATCTTAAGGGGAGTGAGACAGGGGTGCATAAGTTCACCACTGATATTAAATCTGTACTCGGAGCACATTTTTAAAGAGGCCCTAAAAGATATTGATGAAGGCATCTCAATAAATGGAGTCAAGCTCAATAACCTGAGGAAAAAGTTACCAAGGAAGAAATACTGCGGAGGATGAACACAACTGCTGATTTGGTCAACATCGTGAAGAGCCGTAAACTGGAGTACTTGGGAAATATAATGAAAAATCAAGGCAGTTACGAGCTACTCCAATGCATTTTGAAAAGTGAACTTAAAGGAAAAAGAGCCCCAGGATGAAGAGGAATATTCTGGCTTGCTAACCTGAGAGCATGGTATAGAAAAACCTCAACACAGCTATTTCGTATAGCAACCAACAAAATCATCATAGAATAATCGCCAACGTTCGGAACGGACAGGTAGTAGGCACCCTAAGAAGAAGAAGATAGCTATAATAAAGCATTCGATAAAGTACAATATAAACAATTATTGAATGTCCTAAAATCAAAGAAGATTGACTACAACGATCTCAGGATCATATCAAATTTATACTATAAACATCAAGCAAAATTACGTGTTAACGAACAGCTGTCAGAAGAAATTGAAATTAGATGTGGAGTGAGACAGGGATGCATATTGTCGCCAATTCTATTTAATGCTCTCCCAGAAGAAATCCTGAAAAACGCTCTTTACGGTGAAACAGCTGGAATAAAAGTAAATGAAGTTTCCATTAACAATATTAGATATGCGGACGACACAGTGATCTTAGTCGAAAATATTGAAGATCTTCAGAGACTTTTGACCAGAATACCGGAGTATGAAAAAGAGTATGGTCTAACAACGAATTTCGAGAAGATGAAATTTATGAGAATATCTCCGAAGATTAAAATCAGAATAGAAAAGGCTAGAGCAAATTACAACAAAATGAGAAAAGTGCTATGTATAAGGGATTTATAATTATTGGAACTAAGAGTTAGGTTGGCGAGGTGCTATGTCTTTTCGACATTATTTTATGGAATGAAATCTTGGACCTTGAATGCGACATCAATGAAAAAACTGGAATCATTCGAGCTGTAAGTGTACAAAAGAATTCTGAAAAAACAGGAGATTCTTTTCTATTCTCCTGGTTCAAGGCATGCTCCTCCTCCAAACCACTCGATTCCAGCGCTCTTCTAATTTCTTCATTAAAGAAGCGTCAAGGTCTACCTCTTTTTCTTCTTCCAGAAGGCTTACATCTGTGAAGATTTTGGGGCCAACGTTTGTTAGGCATTCTTAATAGGTGTCCAAACCATTTTAAACCTCTTCTTTTAATTCTGAAAACGACCGTTTCTGTAGCATTCATGTTATTTCTTCGTTGGTCTTTTTTTCTAGCATTAATGTTCTAGCACTTTGTTTCAAATAATCCATTTCAACTGCCAACAGTCTTCTCTTTAGGTCTGCATTAATTGTCCATACTTTAAAGCCATAAAAAGAACTGATTCAACCATGGCTTACCCTATTCTTTTTTTGTTTTTGTTGAACATTTTGCGATCCCACCACAAGGAGTTTAGACATGCTACAATTTTACGCCCTGATTAGTTCGGTGTTTAATTTCGATGTTTCCCAAGCCGTTCTTATAAATGAGTGCACCTAAATATTTAAATTTTTTCACTGGTTTAATTTTTACGTCCTCGTCTATCAATACTTCAAACTTTGCATCTGAATTGAAAACTAAATATTCTCTTTTCTTCATACTGACTTGCAACTCCTATTTTACATATTATCTATATACACGCTTTATCATGAATTCTAGATCATCAAAATCTTGAGCTAGGATAACTTGGTTATCCCCAAAGTTTAGGGATATCAGTACGTCATTTTTAATGGGGACTCCCATTCCCTGGCAGTGGTTTTCCAATTTTGGAGGGCTGTCTCAATATATAAATTAACGAGTAAGGGTGACATACTGCATCCTTGTATTAGTCCTTTAGTTACTTTTATTGGCTCTGATGGTCTATTTCCGATTTTTAGGTAGGTAGTGTTACCCCTGTATACTTCTGTAATTATTCCTAAAAGGAATGGACCAATGCCGAGTTGTTGTAAAGCTTGCCACAAGCAATCGAAGTAATCTTTAGTTGTTAGATCTCTGGCGGTTATTGCATCGTCGACATCGTCTCTTCAGGATCGTCTTGGTATACCTCGTTTTCTTTTAGTTGGCAGAGTCCATTTTTCTATTTTTTTTTGGCCATCTTTTTTCCGGAATTCTCTGAAGGTGTCCATACCAGTTAAGTCTTTTGGCTTCGATTGTGTCTATTATGTCTAGATCGATTTCCATTTCTCTCCGAATATCTTCATTTCTCATCCTTTTAAGTTTAGTGAGCTGGTAACATCGTCTCCAGTAGATTATTTCCATGGCCTTAATTTTTGATTGGTTTCTTTGGTTTATTTCCCAGAGTTCGGCGCCATACAGCCCAAAACTTTCTATTATTGTTTTATAAATTCTTCTTTTATTTTCTTCTGTTATTTTTTTATTCCAAAATAGGCTGTGTAGCTGTCTGGTGGCTGATCTTGCTTGGTCAATCCTGGAATGTATTTCTTCGCTACTTCCTGCTTTTGATGTTATTTGGACTCCCAAGTATTTAAAATTGTCTGTTGGTTTTATACTTCCCATTTCAATTTCTAGGCTTTCTGGTTTGTCTCCTACAACTAAGTACTCAGTTTTTTGTATATTAATTGTGAAGCCCCATTTGGTGTACTTATCTTCCAGTTTCTTCAGCTAGAATGGCTTGGGATGAGATCTTCGATTGGGATGCCCATATTGCAGCAGTTTTTCTCCACAGTGAGAGTGCCTCATTTAGATATATTTTGAAGAGTGTAGGTGCTATGCAGCAGCCTTGCTTTAGGCCCTTACTAATAGGAATTTCTCTAGTT